AAAAAAATATTGCACATCTTCTTCCCTCTCTTCCTCTTCCTAGTCATCCTCATTGTCAATGTCGAACATGTCTTCATCCTCCCAAATTTCTTCATCTTCGCTTTCAGTCTGATCTTTTTCGTCTATCCCCTCCTGATGTGGATAGATTGTTACATCAGAAGCAGTGTTTGAAAACCGAGGCTTGGAGGATGTATGAGAGTATTTTTGCTTCTCCGACTGACTTTTGCTTCCCTTTTCAGCTTTATTTCCATCAGTATTATGCTTAGGGGAAATATGCCGATGGGACAAGCCAGCATTGTCAATCTGATTTATCCTGATTTGAACCTGAAGAGTGTTCTGCAGAAACAGGTATGTCAAAAGGATCTAGAGCTCTGGTTAGTTCATTTACTGTGAGAGAAGGTTGCTCCCCTTCGACCAGATGAATCACTGTGCCTATTGGTACTTGTGCGATCTGTAACATATAAGTAGAGAAGGTGATATATGCTGCCATTTTTCTTTAGAAAAGGAAACCAAAAGAAGTTAGGACATAAATATATGCATATGCTCGTGGTAGCCTTGTCAGAACCTCATGTTCCTATCTGATTCTTGATACTCCATTCCCACCTTGGCCTCCTCTCTGAAATCCAAAAGTAAGCAAGCTAAAAATCAGGTATCAATGACTTTCCAGAATCAAATGATCCATATCATATTGAGCCATAATGTCTATCTTCACAATCTAATCTTCAATCAGGGTACTATATTAATTGGATCTTACATCAAGAACGATGTTTTACTATCGATAGCCTTTTTTCCACATACCATGTGATGGTAAATCCGTGGCGAATTACATCGTTCGAGCTTATAAAGATCGATCATTCATGCTGAAAAAATCTCGATGGTAAACGCAAGAGACAAAAATGATTTATCTGATTCGGGCCCTCGATCGTTTTTCGAGTAAACAAATCAGCACTCAAGGGTTTAACGCCCAATCGGGTGTTGGCCTTTTGCATTGGATTGATTATGAAGTGTTATGTTGTACAATTATTGTCCTCTCTTTCAGGAGCCCTGCCCTCCTTTATATTGTTAGGAGGCCAGAGTCCTAGTTGGTTTACAATAAGATTTCCTGGTAGGATTACTTAATAGTTCTACTATTTAAGATTACATGGGAAGAATCCTAGTTAAACTAGATCTTTTATCTCTCTTGCGGGGTATCCTGTAGGTCCCGTATCGACACTTACATCAAGAACAACCAACAATGCAGCAACCGTAACTTACTTAAGCAAAAGCATATGATATTTTTTCCAAGACATACCATGTGATGCCGCAAGCCACTGAAATCCCAGATAGACCTGGAGCACTCAAGAATTACATCACCACCCCTCCCTCCATTACCACCTGCATATGTTTTTTATATTCATTATAAAGATCGATCATTCAAAATGATTATGAATAAAAATCCCAATACTACTATGTTAAAAACAGAGTGAGTATCAGGAACTAACTTGGACAAACAGAAACAGGTGAAAATTTTAGATATAGGTCCTGTTCGCTTCTCTTATAATCTGTCTTTTTCAGCTTGTTTTTTCAGCCAGAACAGTATTTTTCTCTTACAACAAATCAGCCGGAACAGTGTTTCGGCTTTTTTTCTATGAAGCGAACGGGGCCATAATATAATCAGCAGGGATTAATATCTACTTTGCACATTATGTTTTTAGACTTCCAGAGATCATCATCCTCTGACGGTAGAATTGCATTTGGACATCAAATTTAGTGTTTACAACACCAATGCACCTCTAGTAACAGGTGGTCAAGCATTAGTTCCCCATACAAGTATCATCTCTGAAAATACCATTTTAAAGACTGCTAGACATTATCTGTTAGTCAATTAAACAGATTACACGAAACCCCAAAAAACAACAGGGAAGTTCAGGCGAGGACAATCAGCCTGTTCGGGAGGCCGTATCGCATCGTGGATTATTTATTGCTGGTTGGTTTGGTGTGAGAGAAAAACACTATTCCTGGCTGGAAATTTACGATCATTTACGAGCAAGCGAACAGGCTAAATAGACGGTTAACCTAGTGTCACGAAAATAAATTTACCAACAGTAAGAGCACTTCAAATGGATAAAGCAACTAAAGTGGAACTTCAAAGATTGTTCTTCATGATGAAGGGAATCGTTAATTTAATTTAATTAGAAAAGATGGAGTTGTATTGTGAAGTACTAATACCAGAACTAGAGCAGAGCATTATATAGTACATATTGGCCCTGTTCGCTTGTATTACGTTTCTCTTCCAACAAATCCACGAACAGTACTTTTAGAACAGAGCCATTATTACAAAAGCAGGCAGCAGAAAAGGGAGCGGTCTCTCACCGTCAGGCATGCCATGGAGGTTGGACCTGGAGTGCCGGAGGCTGACACAGCCATTGCCACCGTCGCCACCCTTGGCGCGCATCCGGAACTTGTCCACCATGCCCCCGCGCCTGCACCAAACCCATCTCATCAATAAACAGACGGGGGGAGGGAATCGGGGATATGGCAGGAGACTTTCCATTCCTCCCTTCCAGCACAGACCCATAGTAGCATCCCTGCCGGCTAACCAGCCAGGACGACGATGGTGGAATTTTTTTTCAAAATAATACTCCAGATGACGTTATAGAAAATTTGCAAGAATAGGTGTCTATTGGCACTTGAAAAGCCGACCGGATACTTAACTATTGGTTGGCCGACATGAGCATGTCGGCGTACTGAAATGCCGATTACCCATGCCACCTAAGCCGGAGAATGGCCACGTCAAACAAATTTGTGCCGATAGCCATATCGGCATCCCAAGGGCCGACTAGCCCGGGCCCGACCAATTGGCTGTCCTGTGGCCGATAAGCCTCGACCTCTTAGTTTTTACCTTTGCTTTTACTATTATACTAGTGTGTCTGTTGCATGTGATTTTGGCATAGATGCCTCGTTGGAATCCAGCAAGGAGGCGGCAGTTGAGCAGTGATGGACCTGGACATCGTGTTTCATTTTGTAAGAACTTGTATCAATAAAATTTGAATATGACTATAGTAGAAAATTTAAAATCTTGCAAATGATTATGACTTGATATAAAGTTTAACATTCATATGTAAATATGCAAATGATTATGACTCCTCGCGGGAACGAATATTTCAGGATTTAATTGCGTTTGTGCTTTCTGTGGCAGACGATGTTTCCGTCGACGACGAGACATCTGTGATGACTTCGTCAATCTTAAGGATTTGTTGGCTCAGCTTTCGAAGATGCTCTAGGGGTAGGGTTTATGTGCGTATATTCGTAAGGGTGAGTGAGCGTGCGTTGTACTGCGTAATTCTCAAAAAGATATTAAGTCTAACTTAATATTGAAAAATATTAAATTTAACTAAGTATTGTTTTGATGGGATCGTTTTGCAGTGAGAAATGTTTTGGATTTCTGGGCGACCTGGCTCTAGAACTAGATTTTTTTAATTTTAGCTTAAAACCTAAAATTTTAAAAAGAGCACGTCACAAACTAAATTTTTAGAAACTAGCCAAACGTCGTAGGCGACTCGTATTACAATCCCGATGATTCAAACAATATCAAGTTTGATTAAATATATATTAAAGAGTACTACTATTTGTGATGTATAATAAATATCATTAGACAAAGCATGGAATATACATAAGAAATAGATTTGAAAACATAAATGTTGATATTTCATAACAAAGGTTTACATTCTTTTTAGATGGAGGGAGTATTTATGTTTTATCAAAAAATTTGTTTGGCCGATTTTTTTTTTACCATCACAAGTATTTGCAACCTCTCGGTGCTTGACAATTGGATAAAAGAAACGGACAATGATATATGCAAATTAAAATGCATGGAAACTATAACGAGTTAATTAAGAAGGAAGAGAAAGGGCACATGCTTAGTCATGAGACGTGACCTTGCTTTCACCTACTCTGTGTGGCGGACACGCGCACACATGCCATGGGAGAGAGTACAGACACCAGACAATAAATAAAAAATGAAGTGGTCCATAGGCCTATCGGCTCTTCACGAGTCAACTGTAGGACTCGGTTGTTGAGTTACCGACAGGTCTTCAGTCGGCTAACCAATTGCCGACTAGAGCTTTAACTTTTTCACTTACCACGCAGGTTGTCTGCCTCTCATTAGCCGATAGCCGTCCTGTTGGTATCTGGATAGCCGACAGGATGCTAGTTTTGTAATTTTATAAAAACATCTAGTTATGTAATTATTTATTAAAATAATATTATTTCAAAAAAAATCGACGATGGTGATGGAGCCTGCGCCAGGCACCACCGACATTCATTGGTGGTCATTAATTTTAACAAAGTCTTGCTGTGGCTTTTCCCATTTGGGCGTTGCAGACTTGCAGGATTTTTTTTTATTTTGAAAAGGGACTTGCAAAATTGGGTGCCACCAATCAAGTAGAGCAGGTCTATGCATCACATGATGTAGTACCGAGTTGTATCATGGTACTGGTGGCCAGCGATCTTGCCGTTGCTGTGTGCCACAGGATTAATGGAATCCATGTGTTTCCTTTCCAACATCAACAGCAGGATCACATTGCATTAACATGGTGCCAGAGTCAAGTCCCTGACATCAACACACGGTCACATCATCCAGAAAGACCAGCAGACACTCTAGGAAGACAAACATCATTCCAGCACCACTACACCTCCTACAAATGACGCCAATATGGAGCAAATCTCTTCATTGTTCCACATTGGCGTTAGCTCAGCAATGTCGTTAACTGTGTCGCTACACAAAACAAACGAGCATTACAAACATTCAACCTGGAGAACAGAAATCCAAACAGAAACATCTCGCCCTCCACCAACATTATGGGATCTCATTGTTGACTAACCCTTTTCATCAGGTCTCTCATTTAGTAATAATAACAAGTACAAAAATGCATTCTTCCCCACCAATTGGACACGTATGCCAAACATCACAGATAGCACCCCAAGTCATCCACGTCCAACCAGATGCCACACCACCAAAATTACAGCACTTGAGCAGCAGTGTTCAACTTCTCTGCGATGCTGATTTGTGTCCTTGTGATGCTTGACAGGTATACCAGCGTAAGGTTATCCTGTGGGATCAATAATTATTAACTCATCAGCAAGCAAAGCCTACCTACACAGACATCAAGAGGCACAAGTAATTTACCTGAATCTTGTCATTGAAAAGCTTATCGAAAGCAGCTGGGGACAACTTTGGCATTGAAGCAACAGAATCAGAGATGAACCTTCCAATTCTGTTATCAGGTGCCACACGTCCTTCCTACAATGTCATAGAGAGATAATTGACACCTGCATCCGAATAAATCAAAATAAAATAGGAAACAGTTACACGAGAGATTCTTACCACAACATCATCGACATATTTGTAGATCTCATCAATAAGAATGTAAAGCTTCTCCATTGAGGACTCCATTCCTTCCAGATCATTGGGGAGCTTCTCTACCATGGTAGATTTCAGGATCTCGACTGTAACAGAAGGTAATAATTGTGATGGAAGTTTCAAATGTTATGCTACTAAAATTGAGACTGTAGCAGCGACACTATGGTTCTGACAAACAGTAGCTATCTATGAGAAATAAAATACACCAATGGAAACACAAACATTATTACGATCACACTACAGCCGCGACCATTCATGAGAAGTTCAACAAAGTAATTGAAAGACTAACTAATACAAGTGAAATGAAATTTTCCCAAAACAGCAGGTAAAAATTTGCTATTCACTGGTAATTAAATCAATACATATAAGAACATAAACGAATTTAACATTGCAAGTACAGGAAGGCTACAGCTAGCAGAGTTTATGGGTTCATTCAATATTTCAATGTAGCAAGTTCATTCTTCTACGCCATTTACATATTGTTTGAAGTGTTTCGATAATTCAAAGTTCATTTCCAGTAAACCAAAACAATCATCCATATATAATACACGATGAATTAGCAATCAGGAAAGTGACACATACATCCAGCCTTTTCTGCCTCGATCATCCTTAGATCCAGAGGGATTTCCTGAAATTGCGCAGCGAGGTGCCTATCTCCGAGGGACAGGTTGGATGAGATGTAGGCTTTGATGGAAGCCTCCCCCCTAGTGAAGCCAGTGTCGACTGTAAGATGGATGGGGTTTTGTACTTCCCTTGAATAGAACTCATGGATGAGCGTACTTCCCCCAGAAACACCAAATCCAGTCGAGAACCTACAAACAGACAGTAGACAGGTAACAAACAGGTTTGAACAGTTTAGTAAGGATACTTGGTAAATTAATCCCAAACTTTTCAAAGTGACTTTTCTAGTGTTTGGGAAAGTGCTTTCGACGATATCAAACCAAGTAACCAACACACACAGAATATAGCTCTGAGCCCATCAATTATTCTGAAGCACAAACATGGAACTAATTACTCTAGAGCTATTCTGCCCACAATGCCATAAAACAGAAAATAGCTGTAGCAGCTAGCAACAAGATGAGTGGTGCATTCGGTTAAAAAAATGACTGCGTCCACCAAAACTAATTCAGCTGAAAAACAAAAATACTATGCATTGGGCATTCAGCTGTTGCATATAAATGGAGTTTGCAAAAATGCCCAATTTCGCGCTATGGATGTAACTACAATTGTGAGGCCAGGGGATGGTTGCTCACCATCCGACGATGACTTCCTTGGAGTTCACCTTCTGGTGCGAGGCATACATGTTATGGTGGTAGTCGATGTCGATGGCGACCTGCATCACCCCCCAGCATCAGCAAGTAACCCAATGCGAACGAACGAACGAGTGATTCAATCAGTGAGTTGGTTGGAGATGTGATCTGAACCGACCTGGTCCGCCGACTCGCTGTGGGGGACAACGTAGGAGTTGCGGACGTGGACGGTGCCGTCGGGGAGGAGGGAGCCGAGGAGTGTGCCGATGACGCGGTCCGCCTGGTCCGGGCGCCGCACGTAGCTGTCGCAGACGTTGAAGAGCACCACCGCCTCCACCCGCGCCGACGACGGCGGCGAGGACGCCGAGGAGGGAGAAGGGAAGAGGAGAGCTGGGGACGTCGCCATGGCCGAGTCGGAGGAGGGGAGGCTTGGGCGGCGGCGGCGACGACGAAGAGAGCAGGGGCCAAGGGTGTAGCGGGCTAGGGTTTCCTTTCTTTCCTCCTCGTCTCCTCTCTTCTTCTTCTTGTCTCGTCGCCGAGGAAAAAGGCTGGGCCTTAGAGAACTTAACTCAGTGACGGGCTGGTCTACCTAACTTGTGTCAGGCCCACTAGGGCTGTGGCCAACCAGGGCATCCGGCCCGTCTGGGGTGGGTGTCCAGATCCAGCGGCCTCCCCATCACCACCCGCACCACACACGAGCACACGCGACGACTGACAAGGCGAGGGGAGCAGTCGGCGGCGATGGGCGGCGGCGGCGCACATGGCGGCACCACCTACAAGAGCTACACAATCCCGCACAACAAGCGCTGGCACACCGTCGCCGGCAAGGGCCTCTGCGCCGTGATGTGGTACGCATGCGCGCCCCCTTGCTCCCCTTTCCATCCCACCACTCCGATCCGTCCATTTCCTCCGAATCCGGTAGCTTCCCTCCGATTCAAGGCCTGGACGCCTCCCTGCCTTCCTCAAACTGAACGCCGCGGCGCGTGGGATTCGCCGTCGCCGGTGGGTTTCCGTACGGCTAGACCAGGACATGCTGGGATAAGTTCTTTTTAATGGATTATTCCTCATATAAATTGTGCGATTGGGTTGGGATTGGACGCGGCCGTTCTGTTTGCGCGCAACGTCGCAAAGTGCAGGCGCGATCTGCATAGCGAAAATCCAATTTGGGGATGTGGAAATGGAGCTGGCTCGCTGCCGTTCACCTTATTATGCCGTTTCGGTAGGACTGTCCACTGGCTTCTGCATCCGGGAGCCGCAAGAACTGCAGTGATGGTCATCGCTGCAACCGTGCTCACCTCAACCATTGCGAGATTAGGAAGGCCAAATCTGACTTTCTTCATGCTTCAGGCTCTTGGGTAAATCTGATGGGAACTTCTAACATCCTTTCATGGCTTTATGTCCCTGTTCTAGTTACAACATGTGTGCCAACAACCTTCAATTCTTGTTTCATCTTCACATCAAATGTTTTCATTGTTTTCGCAACCCTAGCCAGTTGAACAAAACATATTCTCAGGTTTGGGACTGTCTACATTACGTAAATTTGGTCTCTGAGTGTGTCAGCAGTTAGTAACTTTGAAAAGGCTGCTGTGGCTTGCACGGCTGATATTTTATCTTGACCATTTTTTGCATCTTCATTGACCCGAGTTATGAGAAACCATAGTAAGCTCTGAAATTTTCTTTAACACGGTAACTGCCCAATCATGCTCTAGAAATCTTCTGTTGAGCCCCTCCCCATTTCTGTGAGATATGGGTCATTTAGACAGTCACTAACTCTTGTTGAGCTCCTTTTACCGTGTGAACATAGATGCATTAAACAAAAAACTTTAAGCTGCCTTTGTTTTCAAGGCAGAATCTGGCTTTTCATGCTTGACTAGCTTCAGGCTCTTTGGTAATTTGATGGGACTTTCTACTTACAACATGTTTGGGAACGACCTTCAACTCTCGTTTCATCTTCACGTCAGACGAGTTTGATTCAAGTCGTTTTGTTCCTTTTGCAACCCTAGCCATTTGAACAAAACATATTCCCTGGTTTGGGACTATGTCTACCGCATGAAATTTTGACCTCTGAGCATGTGAGCTGTTAACTTTGAAAAGGAGTTTGCAGTTGACGTTTATATTGACCACTTTTGCATCTCCGTTGACCCGGTTTTGAGAAACCAAATAGAAAAGACCTATGATTTTTTTTAACATGGAAAGTTGGAAACTACCTCATCAACCTGATTATATGAGAATAGATGCATTAACCTGATTAGAAAAAGTTGAGCTAACTTTGTTTTCAAGCTGGAGCTCAGGATTTTTAATGACATATTTCTTCTGAAATTCTAAGTGTGCACGAGGACAATTAGTTATTTCAGATATGTTTAGACTTCAGAGTTTGGACCTACAGTTGTGATTGAGGCATGTTTTCACAAGCATAACCAATTGTGCTGCCTGCAGGTTCTGGGTCTTCTACAGGGCTAAGCAGGACGGTGCCACGCTCTTGGTAATATTCTGTTTACCAACCCCCACGCTACACTTAATCTTGGTTTACTTGAATACAAGTTAAATAAGTGAAATGGTTTCAGGGTTTGCGTCATCCTTGGGATGGGCATGATGACCACTCTCATGGTCATGGACATGGGCATGAGGTAGTACCATCTGATCCCTTATATTATACTTAGCATTATAGAATGCATTCTTTTAGCTTGTTTTGTTAATGAATTTTTGCTTAACTCCTGTCAATTTGCAATCTTCTTTTCATGTTACATTTGATGGATTTTATATCTTCCCATTAGTTTTTCTAGTTTATTTTTCATGTATTATACTTCTGAGAGTTTCCTAAGACAATACGAAGAAATTATGCCTGGTGACCAAAATATCTGTTTCCGCATGCAAATCTCAGTTTGTGGCTGGTGGTGAGAAAGACATATGTTTCACGTTATGAGCGTTGCATAATCATTTTAATGTATTATAGTATGGTGTTTTAATTGGACATCATAAATTATAGTGTGCTTTGCTTCGGGATACCAAATAGTTGATATTTCGTCTTGTCAACTACTTGATGAATTGATGAACTAGTTGATCATCTTAGCTTGTTCTTGGTTGTGTGAACGTACTTGTTTTTCCTTTTGTTTGCATTGGGGGAGTGTGACTGATAATTCCCAGATATTAACAAGTGTCTTTATTTGCCTTTTTTGCTGATATCGTGCATGTTTGAGGATTTATACTCTCTTGCAGTAAACTGGTGTATACTGGCAATTAATCCAAAACTGCAGGAAACAAAGAATCATTTGCTTACATTGAACCACTATACTATTATGGTCTTATTTAAAAGAAATAAAGCAACAAACAGGGAATTAAAAGTCCATGTGAACTCATGGGTTTCTTATTATTTCATGTAGGCATCGTCATCGTCGTCTTCACATTAAGTTCCCTACTCGCGGCTGACGGTGATTCAATGCTTGGCATGTTCCAACAACTAAAGATTGAGTTAATAAATTCTACCATCCTGCATGGGACTCATGTTGTTTGCAACCTGTTTAGCACAAACTGGTTTTGTTACGATTGTGCTTATGTATTTGATTTGCAGCTTCAGTTCATATGTTGTGGAAAAGAATCTGGTGTATGTTGATGTTCCTTGTGATCTGTAGCTCAGTACATTGCTCTGCTTCGAATCACCCTTCAGAAAATATATACTATCATAAAAAACAACACGTATGCTGTTGCTTTCGGTTGGTGCGTGTATTCCTTTGCTTCAGGCATGGCGTCGTACGTGAAGTAATGGTACAGTACTTCTTGCAGACCTGTTAGGTGTTAGCAGCAAAGTAATCGACTAACCTGGAAATTCCGATCCGGCACCAACACTGTCGAGGTCGACCTCATCTGGGCCTAAGCTTCAGGACAGTCACAATAAAAAAAATGTAGCTTGGGAAATTGCAAGCCCTGGTTCATCGATCTTCCTGCATCCTCTAATCTGCACCCATGGGATGATCAAGCTCCCCTACCATTATCCTCATTCATTGACAGACAAGCACTGCAGATAGACATGGAGATCTAAACTGCTGTCCCCAAGGTCATCTAAAAGAAGGGATGAGCTAGGGTTAGTTAACAACTACACGAAGACTTACCAAAAAAATTAGCTCATCTGTTAGCCCTTTTATTTTAATACACTACATCTAATTTTAGCTAGCAATTAGCTCTTACATCAAATAGGCCAGGTAGCCTGAACTCGTCAACTCGTCGAGAACACAAATGGGAGGTGTTGTCCTAAGAAACATGCATATGTAATACTCCCTCCATTCCAAAATAAGTCATTTTGGATCCGTTCAAAATTATAAGTCGTTTTAGAACGGAGTAGGATGGCATCACCTGTGGCCATTGAGATGTGTTTGATCTCGAGTGTTACTTGGAACAACAGCTGGGCCACGGCCAGCCTTCACTGTGTATAGTGGCTCTGTCTTTCTTTTCATTGCAGCCCAAACATTCAAGGGACGGCTCTCGATCGATTGCCATGCATTTCAATTTAGAAGCAACCCGAGCCTTTTACTTTGATAGATCACATGATACATGGTTCCTTTTGGCAAGCCATCGTTGCATTGCATGACACCCAGATGAAGAAATTTGGAAAAAGAATACTACTGCTTCAAGGACAATAATCATGAATGGCACAACCATCAGTCAAAACGCAGCCCAGATTGCCCAAACAGGACTAAGATTGTTCAACTCAATCCATACAGGTTCTCGTTCTCTCTAACATCAGCAGCTCTCAACAAGCAGGAGGGGAAAAGTCTGGGGATCTGGGAACCAAAGCAAACAGGGAAAATACTTCAGCTATACATCACAAAAGGCATGACCGAAAACCCTATAAATAAGTTGACTCCCAGCAGATTCATCACAACAAAGCCGGTTCCGTTCATTGCCGCGGATGATGATGATAACATCTTTTTTACATCACAAGCAAAACAATCCGAGCAAACTGCAGATGCCATCCATCCACCAAAACAGTTGCGCTAATCAAATGGAGGATTTGGGGTTTTGATTCGCCACCTCAACGTCTCCACTCAGCTTTCAGTGGTCTCTCTGCAGATATTTAGATATTTAGTAGAGAAGACAGAAATTAATTCGGGTCAAGGTACACAAGGGGAATTTCTACTTGATAATTTTTTTTTGTAGGAGCACTGTTTTTTCTATGGGGCAGAATATAAAATAAGTATGCATTTCAAGATAATAACAAGCAAAGAAGACACGTGAGCTTTGAAATATATGTTGAAGCTGCAATGCAAGGAACACGCAGTCTCATTCGTCCAGGTTATTTAAATAGATAATTTTACAGCCCAACTATTTGAAATTGAAAAGGATAAACGTGGGTATGGTATAGTCTCATATTCTAAAGCAAACCAATGTGACAGAATATCATGTTAGTACAAAACTACAAAATGACCTCTTCTTCCATTAGCTTCCAAACTATCATGTCTTAAGACCTGATGTTACCAGTTCAAGCAGTATTTGTTTAGGTTCAATTAGCTTAAAAACGAGATCAAGTGCATATTATGACAATGCATACGGTAGACATACAAATGTAATAAGTTTTCAAAGTTTATCTTTTCTACATACCGCTCGCATCTCTTGATGACAGCATAGCCTTGTCGCCTTTTGCTCCATCCTTGCCACCAGCATGGGTTGGCCTTTGTGTACGTGGAGAATGTGAAATCATCTTACCATTGTTAGAGGACGGAAGGGAGTGACGACGAGTGAACCCGTTTTTCTCTGCTGAATCAGAGCTAAGTCTTGGTGAACTATTTCCCCGCAGTTTCGCCTTTGCAGATTGTGTAGCAGCCATGTAGCTTGGCAGAGCTGGAGAATTTTTGGAGCCATTTTCTGGATATTCAGGCTTAGTTGAGAATGAAGATCTCCTCTTGCTGCCTTTCAGGCTCTCAGTAGAAGGATGTTCTTCTTTGGATCTCTCTTCCACATCATTCACCAAAGCATTTTCTTCATTGTTAATGTCTTGCAGCGGCATAATTTCAGCCACTGGAGAAACAACTGACGGTGGTTCAACAACTTTTTCTTCATTTGTGATTGTGACTGGATCTGAAGAAACTTCCACGTCAGGCTGGATATCAGGTACCAGAATATCCATCTTTGCATTGTCCGATAGATTAACATTCCGAGGCTCTTGATTCTCAGGATGAATTGGAACTTGCTTTGCACTTCTTAGTGGTGTCTCACATTGGACCTCTTGATGGTCAGGAATCTCAGTTGTTGGATTAGGTGTCTTTGAGGTTTCAGCCATGGAATTAGTAACCTTCCTAAGGCTACGTTTAACCTTCTCAAGTTCTGTTAACTGGCCATCAGGAACCGACTCAGCAGGAGTGCTACTTAATTTCCTTGGATTCCGTCTTGTCTTCTCAATTTCAATGGCGGTGTTTGTTTGAGAAGGTTCAAATGGCACTGCAGAGCTCTTCCGTGCATTACGCTTTAATTTCGCTGACTCTGTTTCCATTGCATAACTGGCCTTCCTTGTATGTGGCTTAGCATCAGCACCAACTCTCTTTGGTTGGGAAATGGGCTTCCATACATGACTTATCGTCCACCTCTCTAACCAAGTGAAGGCTGAATTAGGGTCCATCTCATCATACTGGAAGTGAAGAGCCTCAACCACAATTGGTGAAGAAAGAAGCTACATCACAGAAAAAGATAATTTAGTTAGCATAAAACGCCTCAAAGTAGTTAGTATTTCTGATTCGTAAATTCATATGCCCCTCTAAAACTGTATTTTGAGATTACCGTGCGAGCAAATGCATTTGAAGACAACTTCTCCTTCCAGGAAGGAGGTTTAGCACCCTGCAAGAAGGTACATGTCATATAATCACCATTTTTGGGCCCCACCTTAATAAGTATGAAAGTGAGCGTCACATGGGCAAATCATGCAATTTTGATCACCAAAGTTAAAAAGAAAAAAAAAAGGAGGAAAAGAAAAGAGACCATAAAAGATGGAGGATCCTGCACAAGATCATATTTTCCAATGTAATAGTATCCTTGCTTTTGAGTTAAATAATCAAGGTATAATACAAACCATGCAGATTGTTAGAGTACGTCAGGGGCCTATTGGGCCTGGGTTGGCTGTATAGCCCATTAGTGTTAGGGTTAATTAGAGATACGGGTCGCTAACTTAAGGGTCAAGTAAGCCTTGCTTGGGAGTCAAGTAAACCTCTCTATATAAGGAGAGGAGATGTATCGATCTAATCAAGCAAGAATTAAGAAGGAAATCCCTTCCCTCTTGCCCGGCCGTGGGCAAACGCCCCGCGGCCGGCTCTCTCTCACCCTCGCAGCCCTAGCCGTGAACAGTACCCGCGGGTACAGTAGCGCCGCGGGTACTGTAGCGCGTCAGCCGCCGTCGCTCCCCTCGCCTCTCCCTCTCAATCCTCCAGCCACATAACACAGATATACAGACATCTCTGTTTGCCATTTGCATTGCCACATTGGTAGACAGGAATAGCAATAGATTAACATTGATCAGATCCAAAGTGACCGCAAAGTGTGATTAACTCAGTACAAAATGCTGTTTTAAATTTGATACAAAGCAGTAATGAATATTTGGAAAAGCAGTGGAGCAAACAAAATTCCAAGGCATGCTGCATAAGGCATGTATGGAGCACAAGAAAATTCCCAATGAAGCATGAAGAATTAGCAATTCGATAATACTAGGAAATAAACCTAGTATATACAACTTTGTTATTTACTAGAGGTGCAAAATCTGTACATAATAGCTTCTCGGCATTTTGGCATCCAGAAGGGAGCTAGCTAATTAAATGTCACTCCAAGGCTTCTTTGTCTTACACACTAATATGCACAACAATATAACCCATGTAATCATCAGCATTGGAAGTGGTCCAATGGAAAAACCTTCTATAAGAAAATAATGAATTTTGACATATTGTTCATTTCAGCACAAATGTTCATTTTGTATTTGCTATCCATTAACCAAATATCCATAAAAATTTCTCAAATACCACTCAAAGGAGAATAATGGCAACTTGGCAAGTACCCATGTCACCATAATTAGTTTGACAGACCTCAACAGGAACCCATACAATCGTTCATCGTGTACTATTCAGGTTTTAACATGGCTTGTATCAGAATAAAGCACACTGAAACAGATGGGAGTTGTGTCTCTATTCAATTAGATCATAAAAATTATAAAAGGGACATGGCCATGATAAATAAATTAGGTATAGTGTAGAAAATGAATTGTAAGGAAATTACCCCGAACTTCTGTTGGGAAAGTTCCCTAGTTGCTTGAATGGAAGGTTGAGAAAGTCTAACGTTCCTTCCACGGGCCAGGGCTTGAAACTTCACAATCAACCATGTTGCACGGAGAGTTGAAACAGCTTGCCTCCTTACAAGATGTCCCCGAATCAGCGCCTGTAGTCTTATGATCCCTTTGAGGGCACGGAATGCTCGGCGTGCCTGGACCAATACCACGACACAATTAGCACCATGGTAAGCCAGGTATCTATGAAAATAGTATTTACGAATTGCTTTATCACAACAATGAAGAGGGGGTATAGTTCTGCGGATGTTCAGCATTAGAAATGAACAAAAACAGACAAAAGGCTCAAAGGTATGAATAACACAGTAGTGCGGTCAGCATTTTTTATGTGCCTTATCGTTTTTATATGAATGACTCTAAGAGACTTGGAGCAGTGCTAGATAACATTGGAACATGGCACGGCCAGATAGCATAAGTAGTAAAGGTAGATGAAACAGATAATTTGAGAAAAAACAAATGTTACCAGATAGCCACGGAAGGCAGCCTGTGCCTTCACGGCCGCTTGCTCTTCCCTCAACCTATCAGCATCATTGGACGTATCAGAACCCACAGTGCCCTGCTTCTCCAAGTCTTGACTGACATCAGTCACTGGCACTTCTTCTTGCACGCTGGAATTCTCACCCTTGGCCACCTCCCGCTCGGTCTCATTGTTGTGGGCGCTAACAAGCACAGGCTCCGAGATCACCGGAGAGCTCTCGGAGAAAGCGGGCTCCTTCCCGGCAGCAGCATACCCTTTGTTACTCGCACCCTTCTGCACATGAAAAAAAAAACGCATCAGTTGCTAGAACAGATCCCTACTCCTTAGCTGGACTCGAGGGACACTCAGAAAATCGAAATCGTAACAGCATTCTGAAACTATGGAGGAAGAAGAAGAAGAACGCACCGATAAATCCTTGGCCTTGGTGGAGCCGGACCTCGACGATGACTTCTTCCCGAAGAGCACGGACTTGATCCACTTCGCTGGAGACTTCCCCATTGGAGCCTAATCCGCCGCCCACCGGACCGAAGGGGTTCGGAGCCTGCAGCAGACCCGCACATCAGTGCACAGATCTACTCCACGACCACAATTCATCCACAGGAAACACCGGAAACAGGCAAAGCCCCCGGATTCTTACTACACCCACCCCCCAACGAAAGCAACCCTTGCGGAGAGCAAAAATAGAATCACACAATAATAATAATAATAATAATAATAATAAAAGAAGAAGCTTTGAAGGAGCGCGCGGCGAACGCCGACAAATGCAGCACGAAGAAACACGAATCCACGCTGCAGCACACCCAAACCGTCGCGTGGGCGAGCGAAACAGCGCCCCCTACGGCCCCAAACGGCACAGATCTAGACGGCGGCGGCGACGCGAAGGATGCGCGCCCGGATCTAAGGGAGTGTCGCTCACCTGAGGGTGGTAGAAGGCGGCGGCGCAAAACCCTAGCTCCCCTCTCTCTCTCTCCTCCCTCCCTCCCTCCTGCGCTCGCCTACACAACCATTCTCGAGAGAGGGAGTGGGGGAAGGAGGCTCCTGGTGCTGCTAGCTCGTAGTACTGCGCTGCGCGCCTGCGCCGAGACGGCGAGAGCGAGAGAGAAGAAAAGAAATCAACTGCGCGGAAAAGAAAAAGAAAACTAATAATAACAAAAAAAGAGCCACTGGAGTGTGTGACTGTGACGAGCGAGTGGGGGGGCCCACTGTGCAACGGAACCGCTTCGCTTCGTCCTGGTGGGACGGGACGGGTTCGGTGACACCGACGTCTGGGCCCCACGTCCGCACGCCGCCGTTTTTATTACTGGGATGGCACGTCTGGGGAGGTGAAGCGAGGGAATCCTGGTAAAATCCTGGGCCCATATGTCAGTGACAGGAGAAATTTCGCCGGTTCACGCCCAGCCTAGCTGTGGCCGTGAAACTTTTTTTTCCCAGGGCCAGGGGAGGGGGGAAAAGAGCTGGCAATGCCTCGTCTTTTTTACCGGCTATAGCTGTCAACCCGTCCCCACGCGTAGGCCGCAGCGGGGCTTTGGACCGGTCCTCGGGGCGAGGCGGGACACACTGTCAGTGTCCGTTCCCATCTCCTGTGGGCTGTGGCCACGTACCGCTGCCTGCGTGCGGGGCCACCCGAACTGGTGCGCCACTGCGCCGTGCGCGAGCCGCGAGAGATCGGCGGGGGTGAATTTTTTTATTTTTAATATTTTTTAAACTAATTTTAAATCTATCACTGTTTATTTTTTAAAACTAATACTTTTGGCCGCATCTATTGCCATGGCGCAGCGGCATGGTGGCGCGGCAGGAGGATGACGTGGCGACGGCCGGGGCCGTTGACCGGTGACCTGGCAGAGTCTGCCGCGCCACCTATCTTGGCGCGGCAGTACCTGAACGCAGACAGAAAATCGGCGGTGAGGATCGGCAGCGACGCGACTATGAACCCCAACTTCATCGACCCCTCGCCGGTGGCCTCCGACCAAGTGCTCTAGTCCGACATGAGGTCGCGTAGCACGATCGACTGGACGATGAAACACTGGAAGTTTCCCTGAAATTCACCAAAGAAAATGAGACCCGATGGCTGCAGGAAAGCAATGCAAGTATTAAATAGGCTTGAATTGCTCACTTATTTTTCTTTAAAACCTCGTCGTCCGATGGAAGCAAGCCAGTGAACTGAGCCACCAGCTCCCTCCAGCGATCGTTGTCAACTATACCCGTCACTGGAAATCCTCCCAACCGAAGGCCAAAGATAGCTTTCACGTCTTGCATGGTCAAGGTCATCTCGTCGCAAGGTAGGTGAAACGTGTGGGTCTCAAGCCTCCACCTATTATAAGAATAGAACAACTGTTAGTTGACTCAAATTTGTTATAAGAATATTTACGTACAAAGAAGACACTCGCACCTGTCTACAGCTATAGTAAGTAGTGCTGGGTCAAGAGACGGAAGACCGTAGTTGACAACACGGACAAGCTCGAGGAAGTCGGCACGCCGTATATACGACGCGTAACGCTCGTCCCACTGGTGCGTCCTGGTGTGCGTGCGGGGCCTCAAAGGAGGCAAGGCCACCTCTGCGTCGGTGTCACTCAAGATGTGTGCTCGGTGCTGGTCGTCGTACTCCACCTCAAGAATGAGATACAACGGTGCTGCGTGGGAGGGGCCATCCTGTTACAAATTGATAAACAAATGGTTAGAGTATTCAAATTAACATTACGTAGCATTGCAAAATTTGAACTACTTGTTATACAATACTAACACAATATAAAAGCACATGTATATATTCAAAATAACATTAACAGACATATTAAATAACTTCACTAGAAAAATAAGCAATTGACGAAACTTCATCAAACCATCCAAATCGACGTATCACGTACTACTAAATACCAACACTTAAAAACTAGTATATATACCCAAAATCCCTAACTAAATAACTAACTATAAACTAAATAATGAATACCTAATCAATCTTTGAACCCAATATCCTAACAGTAACCTAAACTCTAACTATCTAACCAAACATTAACTATACTACAACACACAACCTCAAACCTAAAAACTATCTACCTAAACAAACAAATTCACTAACCTAACTATGCTAAATCACTAACCCTAACTATTCTAAATCAATAACAATCATAAAACCCTAACTATCCTAAATCACTAACCATCCTAAATCACTAACCTAACTATCATAAATCACTAACTATCCTAAATCAATAACAATCATAATAACATGAAATAGAGAGGGAGGTACCTTGATATGGGCGGGCGGTCGTGACGCCACGGCGTGGCGTTAAATGGCGCAGCCAGCGGCTGGCTACAAGCGAATGGGAGGCGGCGGGCACGGCGATGGTCGTCGGCGCGTCGGAGTCTTGCCATAGCGATAATGCGGGGGAGGCGAGCGGCGAGCACGCTATGATATTTATCTGGTCATGCCGCGCCATGTGCCGTGGCGTGTCACTGACACGCCAAGATCGGTGGCGCGGCAGACCCTGCCACGGCACCGGTCAGCAGCCCCGGTCATAGCCACGTCATCCTCCTGCCACGTCACCATGCATGGAGCGGCACATGCGTTTTACCGCGCCATGGCAATAAGCGCGTAGTAAAAAATGTTAATTTTGAAGAAGAAAAAATAATGTTAGATTTAAAATTAGTTTAAAAAAGTGTTAAAAATAAAAAAATATTACGAAGGTCGTGGTGGTGGAGGAGTCAGGCCCACAGCACGTGCAGTAATTAACACCTTGTAAACAGTTGTGGCGTTGACAGTAGAAAATGGAATCGCGGCCATCTCCCATCATGACCATTTTGCCCCCGTATGCCTGCATGCCGTGATGTCCAGTCGTTCCTCTAGGCCTGCCTGTTTTTTCGGGCAACTGATGCTAATTTATTGTAAAAAAAATATTATAACATAGATGATAAGTTAGGTTGATAAATTCTAAGCGAACAGGCACAGTGTGTTTCTGGATTCTACCGTAGGTTCTCCAGCTTCATGTGTGTTGTGTCCTGAGATTGAGTGAATTGGAAGCTACTATGCCTTCGGGTAAGGGGTGTGGATTTATTTTGGAGTGGTGGTAATTTTGGGAATGAAGCCGGTGTAGCAGTAGCCTAATTAGTGTTAGCATTTACACACAAGGAAAAACTTGCAGAAATTGCTAAGGAGGAGGATCTCACTCACACCTCCCAAACGTAGTTGTTAAAAATGTGATTTTAACATACCATTTAACGCCCATACAATTATTTGACTAAAGGGTCTGATTCTATGATACTACTTTCTACGATTTCCACGTTTACGGTCTTATGATTATGGTGTTACGTAAACCCCCAATTCGATCTAATTAGAATCTGCTATTTTCACAAAGTGAGCAAAGCAATTAGCAAGATCCTAACCAGAATCAAACCAAGCATCAAAGCAAGCCAGCAGCTCTCATCTCCCAGCAATTGATTAGCAAAACGGTTGGACACGAAGCAGGCAAGCAAAAGCAGAGGCGCCGAGCGAGGGGCCAAGCCAAGGACCCGCCAACCACCGGCATCTCTCCAAGCTAAGCTAAAGCTACCTTTCACAAGGCCCACATGTCTGCAGTGAGATCATGTCCGTCTATCAGCCCCAGAGCCTCCGACGACCGACGCAGCGTCGATCGGCTCAGTCGTCTAACTGACTGATGATGGTGATTCAGCGCTAATAAGCGTAACAGACAGAGAGATTAGACACTTGACTCGCTAATTATTACACGTGACGACTGACAAGTGAGGTTATCCTAGCCCGCCTCTGATCTGACGCACCTGACAGGTGATGTGTATCCATCGTATGATCCAGGAGAGGTAGCGTAATCGCGAGGCTAGCTTGCTAACTAGCTAGCTGGTGGATCGAGTTGGATGATGATGGCCACTTGCTGCTTCTCTCTCAACATTCCATGGTGTGAGCAACCGAGCCACCGCGACGTTAGATTCTACAGTAGCAGTAAAAACTCTAACGCCGCTATCATAGTTTAGGTACGGAGCTGCCATCGTCCCATCGACAGAGAAGATAGCCTCCTTTGAGTAGTTGTTTTCTGTGTGTAAAAGATGCCAACCTGGTCACTTTTTTCAGTACACTGATCTCTTACCTGCTACGACATTGATCTCTGTAGTCGATGTGTACCATGGGTAGTGGGCACGTTAACGTTGAACCAGTATATGACTGGTTCGTATCGTTGTTGGTTTATTTATATGAGAGAAAAATATTGCTGGCTGGTTCACATAAACATCATCCATGTGAGGGGGCTGGCAGCCGAGCCAGCCAGTCAGCCCCAGCCGATCACGCTGATACTCGATCACATTACTTTGGAAAAAAAAAAGTATACTCGAGCTGTCGAGCACGTACTAGCATTTTGGGCGGGACGACGATCGCGATCGCGCACGTGACGCAGACGGCCCGACGGAAACTGCTATCCGGCGGCCGGGCGTCACGTACGTCACGGAGAGTCGGAGAGCGGGAGAGGACACATGCCCAGCCCAGGCCCCAGGCCCCAGGC